AGCAATGATTGTTCTCATGAATTATTCGCCGGTGCTAGATCGGGATTATTGAATATTATGGGAGCTGAGAGGGGGGGGGGGGGGCGGGGTTTGCAAAGGTTGTGCAAGGTGTTTTGCAGAAAGGTATGTAGGAGTTGGGGTAGGACTCCAGGTCCAAGCGTTAGTTGCATATGCATCAGAGTATATACTGCGTGTAAGCTTGGCCCCGAAAAACCTCCGAAACAAATCCTGTTGCCAAACTCGCCGTGACAGAGGCCAACAACAGCAAGAGAGCGACGCAGGTGCAGCTTTCAGAGCCTGCTGTTCCGAGACTTCAGCATTCTTGGTACCAGTAATTCCTTCCCGCAGTACTAGAGGCCTTGACCCCCGATAACAATGTTCGCAGTTGACGGTACTTACGTATCATTGGGGAGGCAGGGGTAGCATTGTCACAGGGAGGGGGCCAATGGGAAAAGGAGATAACCGAAAGAGCTATCCTGCGTTGGCTATGGTTTCCTGAACCAGTGCTGCGCTTATCTTGTTAGTCTCTGTGCTGGGCTACCCAATGCATCAATCGTATATCGCAGTCTCTGGCCCAGATCTGTCAGAAAAACCTTCACATACAGAAGCTGGATGCTTCAGCTCCTTTCAACAGTTCCGTTGTCTCACTTTGGCTTGCGCAGTCAATGCCCTGCGCATTGTGGGACGCGTTGTGGGACACCTCCGACTCAAGATGTCTTACATTGTGGCAGCAGGGAAGATCAGCCAGGTGTGAACAGAGGCTTTGCTGCGGCCAGACGAGCCGTCATAGCAGCAATGTCCCTGTTGCTGGGCTTCAGTACGAGGCAAAACGTAGCTCGCGCAGAAGAATCCGGCAAGTGGTCAGGTACCAGCCTTAGGATGGGTACGATCGCCGAAGCTGCAGCGCGCTTGCGAGCTGGTGGGACCTCTGTGTTGCCTATGGCACGATATCCAGATCCGATCCTCCGGCAGATTGCTGAGGAAGTTCCGGAGTCTGCCTTCAAGTCGCCTGAAGAATTGGATCTGCTTTCGCGTGCGCTTGAATCAACGGCTCAAACAGAAGGTGCCGTGGGATTGGCTGCAAGCCAGGTAGGCGTGAATGCGCGCATGATTGTGCTGGATCAGCGCGTCCTTGGACGAGCTGCGCCTCGCGTTCTGGTGGGGGTGTGTCCCAACAAGTGGCTTCCTTTTTTAGATCAGGTCTTCAAGGTAGGTTCCTGGGTTTTCGGAGTTGCAAAGCCGATTCTCATCTCAGACGTAGCCAGGTAAACCCGAAGATCCTCGAGCGTAGCTCTGAAGACGACATGAGGTGGTGGCGATGCTCGGGCAATCTGATTGCGAAAACTGGTTGTGTCCATGAAGCCTGGGACTATGTAGCCTTTATGGGGCCTACAGCAAACAGATATGGGTGGTTGTTAAAGTTATGGTCCGTTTTGGGTACCCTAAATATTAGGGGCCGTATCATAATAGGGACCCAAAAAGGGACCATAATTTTGACAACCAGACATATTTTGAGTCTCCATACCCAATCTAGCTCAGGAGAATGTTGCTTGGTTTTGCCTCCAGATGTTCGTGTGACCTTGCTGCGAGATGCCTTCATCTCGGTGCAGTACTTGGATGTGCAGGGCCATCTTCACACTCAGGAACTTGATGGAGAGGTGGCCAGGGCTCTACAGCATGAGCTGGACCACTTGAATGGCATTCTGATCTTAGATCACGCAACAGACGAAACGGATCTAGACTCCCAGATTTTCCCCACTATCAAAGAACTGGAGGCCAAAGAGCATTCCGCGAGACAGCAGATGGCCTTTGAGCGCATGGTTTCTTCATAAACGGGACATCATGTTTCGTTTGCATGTCCGAGACGCGGAGGGGGAGGCCTACATGCCGAGAAGGGCGCGTCGCAACACGTGCCAGACATACAGATGGATGCAGCAGCACGGAGTCAACACGTTGGGGATGCGGCTGTCGCTGCCTGAGATTGAGCCGGTGCCTTTTTTCCTGTACAAGGCCATGTGGACCCACGGACAAGGGCGTCAGCCCCCGGCCGGAAATTGCCCAAGACTCCATGGTCCATGGTGCCGCAAAAGAGAAAAACAATCATGGATTCTATTTTTTTTTGCCAGAGACACATTGTCTGCATTTTGGAGAAGGGCTGTGGTAGGCAAGCATAGAGGTTTGTTCGTACTCCTCTCCGCCAGGCAATCGCACAGGACCACTCTGCGAAACACGAGGTATGATGGGACCCTCAACCTTGCTTACTGCCCCCCCACTAAGAAACAGCTGGAGGATAATGGAAAGATGAATAGCCCTACTGAAGCTTGCAGCTACTACAACTGCATTCGGGAAACCCAGCCTGCACCCTTGGGTTTTAGAGCACGAAATCGCCTTGGAATTGCTCATTAGCATGGGCAGGAACGGAGTACACGGTGCTCAGCTCAGCTTCATGCCAGTTGGCAGATCTCCGAACGTTCTGAGCAGGTTCCCATCCCAAGTGTGGCAAAGTTGTGGGGCATTCGTCTTTTGTCATGCATCAGAGCTTTGAGAAGAGGTGGTGAACCTCAGCTTATAGGACATAGGAAGTACGAGCCTAGACCCTCCAACTACCCTGTACTTAGGCCTAGGCATCCATTATTACTCCCAAGTAAGGGTACTAGGAGGGTCCTGGAGTATGTCCAGCTCCCATTTGAGGTACTAGCATGGTCCTGGAGTATGCTGTGTCGCTGTTAAGGAACTCGATTTAAGTTTCTATGTTGGGGAACCCTATTATTTACTATAGCTATATATACCCTTTTCCATTTATTGATTCTCCACTAAGTTTAAGTTCCTTAACAGCAGCCCAGTATGGGTTAGGTGGACCCCCCACCCAGTAATAGTGACTATTACGGATCTATTACAGGGTGGGGGGTCCTCCTAAAGTATGGGGTACATTGCCCGTTGACTTGCTGAGTTTGACTCCCACGGTCGAGAGAATGCTGGCTGTCCGCAGCCCGGCCATGGGACAAAGAAAAGCTTGCTACTGTATAGCAGCTATAGTCTAAACAAGGGTTATTAAGCGAGATACTAGGAGTTCAGACTCTAGCTCATATAGTCTAAGGTTACAAGTATGGGCCACTAACATGGGCCCTTAAGCCTTTTAAGGGGATTTTAGGAACCCTTAAGGGTCACATAAGGCATATGGTAGGTATATAAGGATCCCACGGTTAAGGGCCCATGCTAGGGGCCCGTGGTTTCAACCGTAGATGTGGGTTTGGGTGGGCTGCTTCTAGGTTTTGGGCGACTTGATTGGTTTTAGTGTGTGTATATATCTATGAGGTTTCCGTATGGGGAGATCGTAAGTAAAAGTCCTATCATGTCAGGAAGCTTCTCAAGCACAGTCCAGATCAAGCTTTTCATCCCTCCATACCGCCTTGCTCATGAAGAAGGGGTTGCTTCACGGATCGCATCTATGTCATTCAGGTCCGACAGAGGGGGATTTCCCATTCAACATAGGCCTTACTCTATCTAGCCACTTGAGAGCGGCCATATTGTGGTTCATGCGTTCACGAGGCGAACGGAGAGGCCAGACTTATGGATTTGGATTCTACCTGGGGCTTGTGACAAATGCTTGCCGAGGGTGGGGTAGTTGGTCATCACGGCGAGATACACAGGTCACCATAGGCTTTGCCCTGTGATTGTGCGAATCCGGACGTTATCGCTCATGCCTAGGACGGGAGGGATGTGGGGTGCATTGTGCTCTGCGGAAGGGTAGCGTTCCTTTCCATCAGGCTTTCGGTTTTGTAGGCCAACACTTTTAAGCACGGCTTATTATTGCCAAGCCGTTGACCGCTTGTCTGCTGCGGATCGCGCCCATTCTGTGGTCCCAACATCCTTCGCAGAGGGGACCGGGTAACACCACGCGAAGATAGGTTGGGGAAGGGCCTCGCAGAAACACTTGTGGAAGCAACGCTTCGCTGTGCGGAACGTTCGCGGAAGCATGTCGCAGAAGCAATTACTTGTTGCTTTGGATTGGTGTTGGAGTACGTAAAACCCATGGCTCTAATTTTGGGGGCACACTCATCTAGGCAGTTTCTCTTTTGTGAATTAGGTAGTGCGGGCGACGTATGCGGGAAGCGCTTGGAAGCCTTAGAGTGTAATGGTAAGTACTGGAGGCCACCTGCCCCTTAAGGACCCTGTACCGTCTAGTAAGCCCGAGCCTAATCCTTGCAAAGTTGGCAGTTTGTATGTGACGTGGCAAAAGACGTTATCTAAGGAGCCGCAAAGACGATATCAAGAGGCCACACTTCCTTTGCATAGCTGACAGACCGCGAAGACAAGCGTAGGCGTTTTCTGTAGTTTTCTGCTGCCGTCTCACTGCTCAAGCTGCTTGGCATCCCGTCGGCCCATCCCCACGTGCTCGAACAGACACCCGCTGCCAGGAATGCAGGTCCCACGCCTTGCTGTTCCGTCAAGCTTGCTCTGCAAGGTTGCCATCTCCCCTCTGAGCTCGTGTCATGAGCGGGCGCTTCCCATGGCATGTAAGAATGCAAGTGCTTATTGCCGGTCTGCGTGCACATCATCTTCCAGATCTCCTGGCATCCTGCCTTTGCTGCTTCCCCTGGCCATGAGCCGGGCTGCTCGACGCAGTGTGGCCTGCGTCCAGTCCACAACAGCGCGTAGAACTTGGGAATTTGATCCTGGCCCAGAGTTGGCAATGACAGAGAATGCAGCCTTGGCTTACACCTCATCACGCCAGGCTTGTGTAGATTTCCTGTTTCAAGCTGTCCCAGGAACACGTCAAAAGGAAGTCCTTCGGCTGCTGAGGGCTGCTTGGGATGAAGACCCTTTGACAACGACGAAGCTGGTGATGCAGCTTGGCGACCCTCGCAAAGGAAAGGCCAATCGGGACAACCATCAGCTATGCTTGTTGTGGCTGTGGCGTCACTTTCCTGCCACAGTGCTTGCCAACATAAGATCCGGCGCCATCTCGCACCATACGTGTTTGAAAGGGCTCCTGGACCTGCTGATGTATGCAGCTTCTGGAGTAGACTTCAACAAAACTTTCAGCTTTTTCTTACATCCTAAAACACCTTCCATTACCATGATACAATAGAGTTTTTTATCGGAGCCGCAAAGTCTGATAAGGCCTGGGATGATGAGGACTTTGTGTCCAAGGACCTGTCCGCGCATCCGAACAGAGGATGGGCATCAGCAAAGTTGAGATGTCTCGGAATGATCGGCCTACTTATGAGGATCCCCTTGTCTTTGAGGTCTCTATGGGAACCTTAATCATGACAACTATCCAACCGTCAAATTTGCAAAACTCGAGGGTTGACGTGTTCTGTACGATGCTATGTAGCCACCCAGTAGAAGCGGAAATAGACATAAGGCAGTCACGAGGTCAAGCGTGCAACCGCCCATACTCCAAACATCATGAGTGGCATTTCATCTCGATAGGCAGCAGTTCTTCAATAGAAGGCAAGACTCTGATGTCATCAGGCCATTCCCAGTTCAGGAACCGTTTCCCCTGAGCGTGCAATTCGCAAGTCGGCCTTGTACATGGAGCGCAAAGCTCTGAACCTTGACAACTCAGCCGGGAAGAGGGGTAATCAGGGGTTTGGATTTTGCAGCAAACAAGGTCTAGGGCTTTCGAACCATGACAAAAAGAACAGGCTAGTAGCGCAGGTTCAGGTACTGGATTGGACAAGTAGGTGCGTTTGTCACCGCACAAAAAATTGGCTTGAAGGCCTCGACAAGCCAGCAAAATAGTAAACTAAGCAAGAGTTTAGGGCTGCTGGCGAAACTGGTAGGGAAACAAACTCAAGAAGGCTTGATAGCCAACATTTCTCACAGAACTGAGGGTATCTAGCTGAACTACAGAATACCGGGATCCTTGGCGCCAATTCCGTGTCTCCATCCCTGTACTTCCTGATGTATACTGGAAAAAACACTGCTCGGGGATCTGTGGGTACTTAAGGATGGGGACAGCATAAGATAGTGATATACAAGACCTTAAAGGCCCAAGATATGCTGCTTAGTTTTCATTACTGCAATCAATAAATTTCAAATTTGGAATCCCACAAATCTCAAGTAGTTTCCTGGGAACGTGTAGGACCAGCGTAGGACTTTCTCTACTTTCTTCGTGCATGGTCCTTAGGATCCCGATCTACCACATAATTAGACCCACCCTCCATGCCAAGGAATGGAGCCGCGCGTAGGGCCAGGCAGCAAGAAGGCCGAGCAGCTCGCATCAAAGCCTTTTGCCAAAAGATGGCCTTAGCGGGCTTCGGGTGGCTTGGCAAAAAGCACAGAGGTTTATGGAGGCTAACTGGGCCACAAGTACCCACGGAGAAGGGTTGTGGGTACGGTGATAGCCTCCACCTTACCGCTCTACCCTCTACCTAAAAGCCTCCAAAGAAGGTGCAAAAACATTCCTGTGTGTATATAGATAGATAGATAGATCGATATACATAGTTGGAAGCTCCTTTTCTGAGAAATGGCTACGCAGGGCTCGGGCCGGTAGGCCTTCCTTCGTTTTTCCTTATATGTGTTGAAAAGGTTACGATGACAAATAGCATCAGCCAACTGCTTTCTGCAGTTTTGGGACTGTGCCATGGGGAGTTGTAGCGCTTTGTCCTGGTTTGGGGTCATGTTAAGCACCCGTGGCGCACATGCAGTTTCCATCCCGATATCAAGGGCAACCCACTCGAAGTGCATGTGCCCAGAGCGTCCTCCAGCTACTCGACCAACCCATGGCATATTAGCTGAAGCAAGATAGTTTGAGGATGACTCAAATAGAGCCCTTGCTGTTTCATGTGTCCTCCAAAGCTGAACCCAGGGATAAGCCTTTGGCAAATCTCACCTGTCTTAGCGAGTACCCAGTGCCTCAGGGAATGGAAGGAATGGAAATGAAAACGGATACTACCTTCATTCCTTGCCAACCTCCGGTACATAAGTTGACTAGAGTGCAGGGTCCGTATCCGCACCACACAGAACAACGTACGCATTGGTCCTGCGCAGGAAGGAGGAGGACTTCCGTGTCGAGCGGATATTCCGGGATGAGACGGTTCCCAAACGGATGCCCTGGATTGAGAAGCAGGAGCCTGGGAGCAACGATCATGGAGCGATAATTTCGTATGTCAGCAGGGCCATTGCTACGCATGCTACACCTTGAAGTAGCGCAGGCATGTAGACCTGGCCCGGGCTAGAGGAGAACGAGTTCATTCTTCGGTTAGCAATGGGGACCCCAAGTTGTGGAGAATACCCCATGAATGAATAAGCAATGTGACAAGAAGTCTCCGTGTAGCTGTGTAGGTCCTCCAAGTTCCCAATGCTGCAACTTTCTTCAGATTCTCAGACATACATAGATGCCAGGAGTGGTCTTCAGACGAAGTGAAGACAAAGTTCGCAGAGTACTGTCAGGAAGTGGACTGGGAAAGGAATGCCAAACTACATGCGGAGGCCAAGGATAGGGTTGCTCAGCAGAGGCTGAAGGTGCGCAACCTCTACGAGGTGGATTCAAACTTGCGGGAACTCTACGACACTTGACTGCAGGTAGAACTTGTTGGCAGCTGGGTTATCGTAATCCTCGAAAACTCATTCTAATTTTGGCCATCTGTCTACTATGTCGGGAGTGCCCTTTGCTGGCGCATGCTCATCTATGAGAGCTTGGAAGGACACAGTGGCGGATGTCTTTGCCCGCTCCCTCCGAGAGCTACTGAGCATACTTCAGAAGCATTCATCTGGACAGGAGAGGTCTCAATCAGCCCTTCAAAAGGGTTTGGGGGACTAGTGTTTCGCAGTTGAGGTGGTCAGACACTCATGCGCGGAATGACAATCACAATATTCTATACACTGTGTGCACTCTCTATCTTATTTGCTCCCTTCCTCCCTCCCGCATCTATCCCTACTCTACAGCAGGGAACTGCATTGTTGTGGTGTTCTTCTGAGCTAATTTCTTGGTAGGAGCTGACTCGGGCCGAGCGCCTGGCTCTCACTGGCA